GCAGGCCGGATCTGTATTCGCATATCCCTTATCCAAGATTGAGTTTATGGCCTGAGTATGTTTGGAGAAAAGTTCGCCATCACGCATGAGACGACGTTTGAGGTACGACAGCCTTTTCTCGGCCATAATCCTGTTACTGGATATGAATTCATTACAGTTTTCGCCCAGGGACCGGTTCGACATAGTGTCCGTGTACTATGCGCGTTGCGGCTTCGGTCTTGGCAACTACCGCCGACTCCTCAATTGATATCGACAGTTCGAGAGCATCCACGTCTGAAAAATCAGTGTTGTATAACATTTGAATTCGGCCAGCAATAGAAATGTCCGCCGCCAAGATACCGTTAACGGATTCAACTCGATGCATAGCGGATCTCAGGGGCCCAATACGATCCAGAATAGCAAGGTTTTGATAGCGTACAATTCCTTACAACCACCAAGTTGTTGGTCTGAAACCCAATGGGCTTCCGGAACACCGCAACCAACCAACAACGATATTTTCTGCTCGCGGATCGCTTCCAAATCGAGTTCGGCCAGGTGAGGCAACTTGCGCGCCTCCGATTGCGTTTCATGACGGGATGTTTGGATAGGCAAACTAGCTACTGCAAACACGCGCTCCACCTCAATCTCTCCTAGCCAGTTTAGCGAACGCAAGTGGAATTTTACCATGGAAATATCCACACTGCGGTTTCCATTAATCGTGGTGATCGGCAACGACGAGGGCTGTGGCTCCAAGCGGAGGCGGTCAACGAGATCCTGAGTGATCAATGTTGTAACCGAAGCATTGTCGAGATGGGCATAGATTTCTAGCAATCCGAACGGGCCGACAACTCTCCCTGGAACCACTCGAAGGGCGACACAACAAGACCCTGCGTCGGTGAACCCGCAGCGTGCCTGATCTGGTAGTACTCCTCGGTTTGGTTCGGGAGGGTCACCAACATGAAGCAGGTTGTGATGACGAGATTTACACCTGGCAATGTTGCAGGCTCTGCGAACATCACGGTCTTTGATGACATGACCGGGCCTTAAGCAACCGAAGCATAAGCCTTTGGTTTTCAACATTTCCCATCGTTGCGGCAACTCCAGCTCGCTGAAGCTTCCGCATTCCGTGGATTAGTGGTTATCATAACAGACAGGGCGCGATTGGGTTGCAGACACTGGCGAAGTAGTTCTCTTTCCATCGTAATAACTACTTACCAACGGATACTCCTTCTTCTGAAGAGCTCTTGTAAGTGTCTTTTCGACGACACGGGGCGATTTATCGGCCAACTGTCCGAATCAGCTGCGAGCTATGCGGGTTCGCGATGAAACGAATATGGTTAAATCCAGAAAGCTAGTCTCGTGACCGCTAAGTGTTAACTGATCAACGATTTCGGCTCATTTGTACTGCAGGGGTTTCGGTAAGGCACGAACTACTTCTTCTAGGGTGGCTGGTGAGATCACATCTGCCTGATAGTTCATTTGTTCCAATGTGATGTGGCAGCTCTCCATCATAATGGCAAGTTCTGACAGCGCGTCGACGTTGTTAGGAATTGCCTTCGCGCTTTGAAGTAGACCTTCTATCGATGCCCTAACGATGTTGTGGGCTTGCCCGAAGATGTCTTGTAGCATTCGTCGGGCTCTGTCATAACCCCGACCGGGTGGCAGCATTAAGCAATTGCCTATAGCCAGTCTAGCTCACCCCTTACAGTAATGAATGAGGTAGAGTAGACGTCTTCGGTCGTCTACCACCTTGCGCTCCACGTAGAATTCAAATTGCTTTATGAACCTCCAGTACTCAGCCCGCTGCACATCGAAACAATCCAGCTCTACTTTGGGGAGACCAGTTTTTGCAAGTAGTGGGACAAGAGCTGACGCTACGACGTTTCCCAACGTTGCTACGGGGGAGTCTACCGACAAATCGGCGTAACGGCCAGCGGACGGTTGATTCGCAGCCTCCGCGACACATTCTGACAAACTCATCAGCTCTGTTTGACGAATAGGTTGGAAGTGCGTGTATGTCGACATCGACTTGTTCTTCTTTTAGCAAGGCATTACATTGAGCGAATTAGACCTCCTGTCTAACCTTCAATAGTCTACGCAGTTTGCTTAGTTCCTATTCCTTAGCTTCAAGTTCCAACTCGTCCTTGAGTTGCTTTTCTTTCAACTCAGCAAGCAATTGTGAGCGCGTACTAGTAGCTGTATTCCTGGAGTTAACCCGAGAGCCAGAGTGCAAAACGGCATCAACAGGTACCTGCCTTGAATTGTTTGAATCCTTCGTCAAGATAGATCCGCGGATGATTGTCAATGCGATGAATCGAATACTTGGGCACTATGACGACTAAAACGCTATTTTTAAGACACGCGTATCAATCGCTCCCGAAAAGTCCAAAAGCCAAGGTGTACGGTGCTATTTACAAAGCATCAATTGCCTAATACAAGTGTTACATACCTATCGGGTATTCCTAATCCGTGTATGGACTCGTAGTTCGTTTAGACGTGGACTCAGCGTGTCTTTATGTTAGAAATCCAATTACCGACCTGGACGTTGGGTGTCTACACAGTCTCTAGAACTCATGGGTGCTCGAAGGCGTATTCCGACGGGAAGTGAATACAATGGGATTCGCAAAAAATGTCAAAGCAAATCTGCGTGTTAGCCTGAAGAGAGACCATGAAGCCTGGTGGTTTCATCGCGCATCCGAAATGGAAACAGCTGCTGCTATTTGTAGTCATCGGAAGTAATTCTGTCTGATACGGGAAACGGGCCGCGGCCAGCTTGGTGTTAGCGACCATGTGCGACGAGATTGGACAGCCGATCCACAGCTTGTCCAAATGTTTGGGCATTGAGTGCTCTTTTACCTGGGCCGTTTTCTTGGATCCGCCATCACGCGTAAATGCCGAACATGAGATCAGACTGTTGAAATTGCATAAGGCCGCAGGGCAAATAGAATTCCCTCAAACCTCTTTCAAATTCGGCAGAGTCACTCTTGTAGATGAGTTACACGAGCTACTAGTGAAATTTGTGGGGCGAGAAAAGGTCCTGACCGACTGGAACCGCGCCGTCATAGTCCCAATTTCACAGGGGGCTCCCGTTCGGAATGCGGCAATCATAAAGGAATCAGTCTGACCTAAAGTGCCTCTAAATTTCTTGCGTCTGTCGTTCTACACAGACTGACTGGCACTTGAGAATCCAGATGCTTGAGGAGCAAGCCGGGTTCCATCGAGGTTGGGGCTGCATCGACCACATCATCAGTTTGCGTCTATTGTTGGAACAGCGCCGTTTGCCGGTGACTCAGTTTAATCGTGTTCCCAAATATCATAGGGGCCTTTGATTGGGTGGATCAATGTGCCATTTGGGATTGACTGTTAAGGAAAGGTATGCAAGATAATAATGTAAACATTACCAAAGCGCTGTACGCGCACAGTTCAGGCAGAGGCTCTACGGCAAACTGTCGCCGCCCTTCAAAATCTCCAACGATATGAGACAAAATTTACCACTGTCACGTTTCTACTTTAACTTCGTCTTTGACAAAGCCATGGAAACAGCGTTCGCTGGACACGACCTACAAGGTATGTGGCTGCTTCCTGATGAGCGACTTCTTGACTTGGAGTATGCGGACGACATTGCCCTAATATGTGACAGCTCCAAACGTGTCAAGCAGCACTTGACCGATTGGCACTAGCTGTCAATCGTTTTGGGTTTTGCTTTGGTCCATCGAATTCTAGTCTTTCTCCAAGGTTGGCAGGGACCCACTTCTAGGCTAACCCTTGGCGTTGATCAGCTCGAAGTCGTTCAGGAATTGTAGATGAGGTCAAGAACCGTATAGCAAAAACTCGAGGTCATCGTGCCAATATCCACCACTTGTGTAGCCGACGCGACATCACTCTAGCCGTGAAAGGTACAGTTTACAAGGCAGCCGTCCGTTCAACCCTCCTATACGGTCGTAAAACCTGGCCCATCAGGCAGACCGACATAAAGAGGCTAGCCACGTTCGATTATCGTTGCCTTCGCAATATAACTCATGTCTGGTAGGAGCACCGCGTAAGCAATGAGCGTGTACGGCGTCGCATATTTGGTGTCGGGAGAGCGAGTGAACCACTCGGCCTCATTACATCACGCACCAGGCTCCGATGACTGGGCCACGTGTTGAGCATACCAGCTCACCGAATCCCGTGCCGTGGGAGAAGGGGAGGCAAAGCGATGACCTGGTCGAGAGGAATGAAAATCTCACTTCGAAGTTGGTGTTGGTTGGTGCATCCCGACTGCCTGGCTGGAGTCCTAAGGACGATGAACACGTTTGGTTGGACACACTTGCTGATATGGTGAAGAGCCGGCCCCAATGGTGTTTGTGTTGTGAGTTTCGTTGTCGATTCGCCTCTTTAAATTCTTCTTCCAATTACGACCTCATACGAAATGCATAACATAATATTTAACGTTAATTTTCTGAATTCTTAGTAGTTTAATTATTTTAATATCTTTATCATTTTGTATTGCGGCACAGTAGCTGTTTCCCACCCTCAACTGACGTGTGTTGATGATGAAGATGGACAGGTAATAACGCAGGCTAAGTTAACGCTTCGAAGATACTTATCCGCCAAAGTCTGGAAACGGCCACAGCTACCACAGTGGGGCCGCTATTGATTGCAACTCAATTTGCGCCAATAAATTAAAAGCAATCGATCTGTATAGGCAATTTTTAGCGAGTCCAGCAGTCTATAGACAGTTAGGGAATACAGCACATTGCAACAGTGTGTGTGGTGTGGTCCAGTAAAAGAAACTTGGTATCACTTGCATGTCCGTTGTGGACCTCAGATGGAGGTCAGTGAATCGCCCAGTGAAGAATTGGGCTTACATAGTATCTATCGTATACGTGTTAAAGAAGATTCACCTCGAGAAACCTGCACTGCGTTCGGGTACAGTGACTGACACAATTACACCCATACATAATCAGGTGGTAATACCTCGATGTGCGCTTGCGGCAACCTATACTTTGTCTGCATGTGTGGCATTTATTTTCTTAGACGGATTCTCAACAGTAACGCGTTGAGGAATTGCAACAGTGAGGACTGGCTTGGTGACAAATTTAAAATACGGCTGACATATGTTACAAGGAACAAGAAATAAGTAGCAAATAAGCGTTTCAATGCGGCAGATTTTGGCAAACAAAGCTTGAAAGCCACTGTACAAGACATTGAAGCAGGATGATACCACTGGAGCTCATATGACATATGTGTGGCAAATTATGGTCGAGTCATGCCTGAAAACGTAAATCCGTGCTGCGGGCGTTTGAGGAGGGCTTTTTCAATTTCTTCTTTTCGTTTTGCTTGTTCATCCTACGAGGAAACCGAAAGAAGGTGATCGACAATGAGCAGGGTGACGTAGGATCAAGACATATAAAAATCCGTTAGTTATGGATTGTTAAGTCAGTGGTGTAGAAAAAAGCGATATGCGGTAGATTTGCGTATTGAAAAATAGAAGATTTGGAAAAAACATTTGCAGGGAGTAAAACGTCCGAGGAAAAGGCAAAAGCACAGAATAGATAAACGAAAGGTAAAACTCTGAGGTAAAACAAAACATTCCGAATTGTCTGGACAAAGGGGCATTTGTAGAGCGTGAGTCACTATGGTATCCAAAAACCCTTCAATGAGATTGCAAAAGGTTTGAGGAGCTGAACACTTGTGAGCTCGTCAGACATTCGCAAAGAACAGTGGAATTTTTATAGACCAATAAACAGCGTGGTAGATTTCAAAATGCTTTTACGCAACCAGAGCCAACCAGCCAAAATCTGTCACTCGAAAGGTAGTGTCTATATTCACAAACACATCCGGATGAGGTCCATTTGGTTAATCGATTCTTTGAGGATTAACGCTACTGTCTGCATTTGGGTAAGTGCGAACAAATGTTCGTAGCAATGTTCATATAACATGAATATATTTGCACGAAACGAGCCAACTAAAGTCGCAACATGACGTTGCCGTATCTTTAATTATAATGGCACTCTACTGATCCTCCCACTTCGCATCAATGACCTATCGTCAACGTGTCACGTGCCATTAAGAGGAACGTACACAACAGATGTACCGGCACACTGGCATCTGATAACCAAGTACAGGTTGGGTTGGTTTCGACTGGCGGAGTTGTAACGAAATCAAATATTGTCATCCGCTGGCACTCCAATAAATGGCCTGACTGTTGGTTCGTCAAGCAAGATTCAAACAGATATTGAATCAGACGTCGTCTGGGTAGTTCTTGAACATGGACACTAGTGAATTCAGTTCTAACCGACGATGACAACCCTAGTGAGCTATTGTGGCTACTCACGACCGTGAATAATAAGAACATTGAGCAGCACTCGAGCCACAACTTGTGATGATTACCTGTTAAGTTGATATCAATGGAAAAGAGAAATTTGAGTTCGTTGCTATACACTAAGAGTGGTAGCAGACTGAGGGAAAAGTCGGACTTTATATTTAACAGTAATGTAGTTTGAGCGCTAAAAGCAGCCCCAAAGACTAACGGCGAGGGACGGATTTTGATGGCACCTAGAAACTGTTCGCTACAAACCACAACCAGACAAGACGATTGATTCCCGCGAACTGGTTGGCAGAGATACACTACGAGACTGCACCACGATCAATGTGACTGGCAAGGCACTGGTTCGGAACCCAAAGTGCGACAAAACACTCACCATCAGTTGTTCATGTCGTTCGCGGAAGAGAGCCAGAGGGTCGTCGGATTCACGATAAAAGTCAAGCACCAGGCGAACATCCTCTACATTGCCCATCGCTAGCACTACAAAGAAAGATTTACACGAAGCGATAATAATGGAAAACAGCTGGGGAAATCAGAGCGAATATGCAGTGATTCGATGATGCAAGCAGTGAAATTTTGGGTTTTAAGTTAACGATGCCACGGGAACTGAAATGTCAATTCTCACACCAGTTACGGTTGAAATTCGATACAATTGGATAAAAATACTTAACACGCATGGGAGCTGTGGTATTCATTCTTAGGCGCTTGGTAACGAATACTGGTGTTACACTGGAACATTTGTTAAATTCGCATGCGTTGATCAGCGCACAAGCTAAGATGACATGAAAAACTGGCCGAAAGTTCAGCTCTTATGATGTTCGAGGAAATGAGTAATTTGGTTACAGGTGTTTCGTCAGTAGTCGAGGTAACATCGTCAAGGCCCCGTTGCAGAAGGCGGATGAACGTGTATACGGTTGAGGGGTCAATGGGGCACCTTTATGTGTTAGTTTATTTATCGTTGCTAACCCGCCTAATCGATAGATAGTCGTTAATGTATTCCTCATTGGCCGCAAGGCTGCTAACCTCTGTTATCGCAACGACAAATGCGGAAATGTTTATGGCAAATCAGAAGTATACTTATTAAAGTGAATAGTGCTACCAAGATTACTGCATAAAAGTGTTGATAACGATTACGTTGGAGAATTCAGAAAACAATTTCTGGCCCTTTCCAAAAACATGGTTTGACAAAATATTATTTTTGTCATGTGCGTGGAAACTGGGTTGTCAAGTGCACACTGTCGAACGGAGAAATACCTGATTAACCGAATGGAACTGTGGTATGACGATCTGCGTAAGCACTACCAAGTGTCGCTAGAGTCAAACATGTACAGTTAACGCTCCGAAAAAGTGAATAACAGATACCCCCTACGAACAAGCTCCAAGGTGAGAGAGCCTGTCAAAATACTACTTCGCAGAACGAATGACCACTCTACTTTGATTACGAAAGTTGCCGGCGGTGCGGGATACTTACTTCGTGACCCAGATGCAATCTGTGAAGCATTCAGTTACTTCTTTGCACTTTTAGGAGTCCCGACGATGACCATGTACCTGCATACACAGAGTTTGTAGTAACAAATGTCTTAAGCAAAGTTAATATTTCGCTCAACAGTGTCTAACAAGTTATTAAGTCAATCAGGCCATCCTCCAAGCTGGGTTCTGATTGGATTCCGACACCCACTGTTAAACTAGAGGAGCAAGACATACCACTGCTCCTGATGAACAAGTACACGCTGTCGCTGGAATCTGGCCACTTTCCAGATCAATGGAAAACGTCGTCTATCATGCATAGGCACAAGCGAGATCCCAAATAAAAGATTGAGAACTAGTGGCCAATCCATCATACTCCAAAAATAGCTCGATTATTCGAAAAATGCTGATCAAGGAGTGCGTGATGAGCATTGTAAATTCGTTGGACATGATAAATAAGTCACAGCATGGCTCTGTTGACAAGCGATCGTGCACCACCTGTCAATTATATTATCCGAACTACATTTCAGAATCTATGGATTCCGCCCATGTAGCAGGGATTTTGTTTCTGCGCCTCACAAGCGGTTAGTAAAAATTTAGAGGCCTTTTGGATTCGGGAAGCATTACTATGTTGGATGTCGTCATACATGAGTGGTTGCTACCGGGTAGTAATTTAAGTGACCATCGCTCTTCTCCACGCCCTATCACTAGTGGGGTTATCCAAGGGAGCGTACTCGGTCCTTTGTTGTTTCTACTCTACATAAAGGACATACCCCACATAGTCAGCTATTTTTATTCACCGACGTCTATGAAATTCAAAGTGATGAATTTCACATAGCACTTATGTTCATGCAAGATGATGAACATCTCGGATAAAAAATCAAACATGTCCTACGACTGTTCCATCCTTGAAGGATCTATTACAGCTGTCCACGAGTGATCTCAGAATTAGTTACTTATGTAGTTACAACCTCTCCGAACAAAAACACAATAACAAGTAGCGTGTGTCAGACAATCTGTTTAAAATATCCAACAAAATTCACAACCCATATCAGAGTTGAGCTTTTTAAGATACCCACCCGTTTAATCCTCGAGTACTGTAGCATAGCTCAATTCGAGGGTTTCGCAACAAAGGCTAGAGCAAGCATGCGCAGGAATTTCTTCGTGAGTAGATACACCTATCTGCGGAACAAACTGCCAATCAGACTCAGATCATGTGAAAATGCGGCAACTTTTAGTAGTATACTGACAAGTGGGTATGACCTGAACACGATCATAACTACGTTCGCATGGAGAAATGCACTCGATGAATCATTGCAAGAGGCGCCCAAACATCCATGTTCCGAAAATTTGGCCTTCGAGTCAAGCGTCCACTACACCGCCATTGTATGACTTCCATGCCACAAAAGTGCATGGTCACGCTTGTACATATTGATCTGTGCCGCAAGTTGCCCGGATCAATGGGAGTATTTGTATAAGTATTACTATTATATACGTTCCGAACAGCAAAAACATCAAGACGAGCCGCTGTTCATAGTTTTCACATATGCCCTTGATGCCACCGCTCGAACGCCCCCTGGATCGAACATACACGAAGGAAATCTGGATCTTTTCCGGTTAAGCCCCGCCACTAATGCAAAAAGAGCACGCGCAAAAAGTTAAGCCCCGCCACTAAGGCAAAAAGGGTACACCTGAAAAGCCAAGCCCCACCAATAGTGCAAAAAGGGCACGCGTGAAAAGTTGAGCCCCGCCACTGTTTGCCAGCTCCAGTGTACGTAATGCGTGTGAACGTGCCTCATTAAAACTCTCCTTATCCGCTTCTAAGGTCATTTTTGTCCAAAAGTTTCTACGTTCGCACGTAAACCCTGACATGAACTTTCTGACGCTTTCGGCCGTCGTTCATGACAAGGGAACAGCAATACGTTTTATGCAAAGCCATGGAGTGATTTATCACCAACGTTTATGCAGACGAGGACACCAAATGACACTTTCAACTGTTTCTGAGAGGTGGAGGTGTGATGCCCGACAGTGTCGGCAAGAAATCGGTCTTCGAAAAGGAACTTGGCTGCAGCGGTCTAGGATGGATTTCAAGACAATAATCCTATTCATTTCTTGCTGCTCCAAAGATCTGACAACAATCAAATTCTGCTCAGAGGAGGTATCTATTGGCCACGCGACCGCTGTCGACTAGAAGAAATTTCTGTGTGAAATTTGCGCCTGGCAGCTCTTACAGACTCCAACGATTGTCGGCGGCCCAGGTCTACATGTCGAGATCGATGAAACCCTAATATCACGTCGTAAAAACCATGCAGGGCGAGTCCTTCCCCAGCAGTTGATTTTCAGAGGGATTTGCCGGGAGACTAAAGAAGTGTTCTTGTATGCAGTGCCAGATCAAACTGCAGCCACTCTGCTGGACACAATCCAGGCCTGCATCGCTCCCGGCTCAATTATCATTTCCAATATGTGGGCATCATACCAAGGCATTGAATCGATGGTTGGCATGAGTTATACTCATCAAACGGTTAATCATACCGAAAACTTTGTGGATCCAACGACTGGAGCTCACACACAAACCATCGAATCTCGCTGGCACATTTACAAGATGCAGAATAAGCGCCAATGCGGCACACACCGATCTTTAGTGGACAGCTACCTGTGTGAGTTCGTTTGGGGACAAAGACACCGAAAAATGGACCTTTTCATGCAAATTATTAATAACTTGTCTCAATTTCCCCCTCTTCAATAGAGAGTAAAAGTTCAAGTTCCATATCCTCCCTTTTCATAATTTTTTGGGTGGCGGGGCTTAACTGGAAAAGATCCGGAAATCTCAGTAAACCGCATACTTTGATCTGTAATGACAACAGAAATAAGAAAACCCTGTTCAAACCAGTGCACAGCGTGCAGGTTCATCTAGACCGTGTCCACTATAAAGGTCACCTGGAGAACAGCAGCATTATCTGCCCGGTGGTCTGACCAAATATGAGCAGTTTAATCAAATCAAGTCGTCAGTATAAGCTTTACGTACCCAAATAGATGCATTTTCAGCATTTTACATTATCAAATGTAAACTTGCCGAAGGGTTAGCAGCAAAAATGTTAATTTAGCTAATGGGTAGATCGATCGAGCAGATTCCAGAAAACTGAACTAAATCTTCGGGATTTGTATTTATTCAAAACGGAAAAGGTTTCATAAAAATGTCTCTTCAGAATTTGTTTCAAGTAAAGAAAAATGTTTCGCCCAAAGGCAATAGATCGTGTGCGATAGCTCGCAGGTATATTCAAAGGTGCATGGACTAGAGGGTCTCAGTGACCTTGAAAGTTGATTGAACAAAATAGCTATCAACTTAATCTTGCAAATCTGAGATATATACAGTGGATAATGTGAAAGATAATGTTCGGAGAAAAAGGAAACGGCCGATGTAAAAGCCCCACCATCTAGTCCAGTTAAACAACTGTGATGCGGGCAATGAAATGAGGTGGATCCGGTTACCATGATTCGCGTGGCCAAGATTACGATGGGATCAAAAGCTAGCTAAGCGAAGAAACTTGTTTTCGGTAGCACTCAACAGGTTCGTGCACAATGAAAAGAAAAGTGGGTTTAGAAACAAGTCAGCAGACTCAATCAAAATGTAAAATCCGAGCGGAGGGGCGCCGCTGACTGCGCGATAACGCCGTGTCCGGCAATGACTGCAACTAATCCTGTGGCTCATCCCGATGAGCCCATACACAAAGACGGCACGCACTGGCCTAACCAAGTGCCTCAGTCGATTTCCTCAGGCGTTAATGCAGGCAGCGTGCCCGACCGTTGGTTGACTGGTCGATGCCTTGCTGTTTACATGGGCTTGAATGTAGCTAGCCACTTCTGGCATTCGGTGACCTGTTCCGTCAGTCCAAAATGAGGTTTAATGAGTGTATTGGGTGAAGAGACTGTACGGAAAAGGAATTTATGGAAATAAATTTCCATGGATGACTGAGGACTTGAAATGTCAAACGAATCTTGGTGAAAAGAAACGA